TTGAACTTGAGTCAAGGCCATTACACACTCTGCACGACATCAGCAATGCCATACTGTGTGTTTCCGACTAACCAAGTTCCCGTTGTTTTTTTCCAGACCATACAACGGATCAAAATATCTTATCCCCTATAATCGTAATGTATTAAGTTCAAATCACTGCTTTAAAGTTTCGGTGGCAGGGTATAGTTTTGAGCTAAAGACTCGGTCAATTTTCTTTAAAAAAAAAAAAAAGAAAGAAAGATATTCCCTGTTTGATGTGGAATCTTATGTAGAAATCTGGTCAGAATAATTATGAGATACATTTTCAGTGTAGCTGAGTGCTTGATGAAAAAAAAGATGTGCACTATGTAGGTTTCACTATGATGCTTAGCATATACAAAGTTGTAAATTCGAAACTAAAACACGTGGTCAGTTGCAGAGATAGATCATTTGAAAAAGAGGTAGGGCTTAGAAGGTGTGTATTTCAGAGGGAAGGTGAATGGCCCCAGATCAATTGGTGAATTTCCAATAGGACATGCATTGTTTTACAAATCCTTTTCATAATTATTTATTAATTATTCATAATGGTTGGTGTATTATAATAATGTTTCCCTAATATATTATCTTTTTAAATTAAAAAAATTACATTTTTTTAGTAGATATTCACATAATAAATCTGAATGTAACCCCAAAATATTCATTTAATAATTATCCTGTGTAAGTGCAGAAGGGTCAATAAAAGAAGTATTAATAAATAGAGTGTCTCTCATTAGTTTGCGGGGAAAGGAATATATTTTAATCATTTTTGTAATTATTTGGGTATGTTCTTTATTATATTAAAAATTGAAAACATTCTGACAAAGACTTTTGAAAAATATTTACAAATTTAGGTGGTATATTGACTCAAAAAATATTGAGCACATTTGCCTGTATTCGTTGAAATGTGGACATACGTCAATTGAATAAAAAAAGAATTTATTCTTGAATAATATTGCTTAATACGGTTCTGTTGATAAAGACGATATTTGAAGAAGTATTTTTGTGATTTTCTATATTCTCTTTATGACCATTAACCCTAAAAATGGCTGAAAATGTGTAGTCGCAGTGTAAAAATACCATTCCAATTTGCACAGGCTACACTACATTAAATAACAAGGAAACATACCATATATGTTTGACTGATTGATAAACAAGTGCTAATTTATCATTTTGAAAAATTTGAAAATCTAGTGACAAAGACCTTCCCGACAAAGGTTCTACCTTAAAATGATTGACAAGAGTTAAACATTTAATTTTCCTCTCAAATGAAGGCGAATTAGAATTGAAGTGGTTTCAAATGGACATTTTAAATTTATTCGCTTCTTCCTTCTTAGGAAGAGAGATTTAAGGAAACTTAGCATAAAAAGTGTCAATGCTTCATTCAAAAAACTATATTTTTTAATCATAATCACGAGTGCATTCTATGTGCATTATTTATTTTCACAATAGGTTTACAATATTTTTGTAGTACTTGTTAATGAATAAGATACAGGCTAAATTCTTGTGACCAGTCATGCTATTTTTTGCAATGAAATATGTGGAGATAACGAACAGCATTCGGGCTCAAACGTCCATTAAACATTATAAAATAGGAGCAGAGCAAACACGGACCTCTAAGACATCAGAGGTGGTATCATGTGCCATGGAGGAGTGCGCAGCCCCTACCGACCGGTCACATAGGCCGTGTGCTCCTTGTGATGATTGAGAAATCACGGGAAAATCCGTTGACAATTCAGTGTGTAAATAATGGCCTAAGAATTAGTATGAAAAAAGAACTATGAAAAAAGAAGTATGCAACTATCACAACTAAAATAACAAGGGAAATTAAAACAAATATTTTAATATCTGACAGAAAAAAAATGATTATGATTTGAACCCATTTCCATAAATTGTAAGAATAGACGTACAGTAATTAGATACTGTGTAGATGACTGAATACATCTCTGTAGGAACCGGGAGGGGCACAAAAGGAGGGGTCTCCAATAATTTTGCCGATAATTATAGTAAAAATGCACCATAGAAAGCAAAGGTACTTTTTGAATGTGACCGGTCAACAGGTGATGCTTCTCTCCCAAAGCACCTGATCCCATCTCTGGAATTTCCGGGGCTCCGTGTTTTAAGCCCTCTTGTCATATTTGTATTGTTTGTCATTTTTATGCATCTTTACAAAATGTTGAATAAATACACACTTTATTAGAAAGAATGAAAAAAAAATGTGAGATTGTTAAATATTTTATAGCAAATCTTTTAAAGTATTATTTCATTAGCATCAACATCAAAAATTACATCTATAATCATTTTAGATTGGAATAATCCAATTTACTCATATTATACCATAGTTCCTATAAGGAAAATTAGATGGGCAAACAAGGGGTGCAAATTCCAGTAGCTTCAAATATTTAAAAGCCATATTCAGGTTGTGAATTCAGTTTTTAGGGTTACAAGTTTTTTTAATTGAAAGGTGTGGATTTTTGAGAAACAGAATATTTTTTAAGAAAGTTCATGCGGCTAAAAAATTCATATAAATAATTAAATGATATGATTTAAAAAAAAATTATTAAAAAATATAATTTAAAGAAGGTGGAAAGGTTGGGGTTCAAAATAGAGCATTAAAGTGCCAAGTATTAGTTTTTCCTTTGAGACTAAACGCTAACATCCACGCTATACACCTCATTACCAATATCGGCATTAAATCATGTTTGTGATATGACTCTTGAGTAAACCTTTGTGTAAACGGACTTCAAATATTTCTCGACAAGATTGGAATTTTATGTCCAAAAAGTGTATTTTAATGTATAACGGGTCTTTGATCCAGTTCAACCAAAACTGATATTAACGATAAGTGCATTTCTTCGTTTCATTGTGTAATATCTCTTCGAGAATTTTTCACTAACATTGAGACGCCATCACTTGCCAGTGGAGGCCTGCAAATTTAGACTTGTAATCGGCACGTACTGCTTGTGAGCAGTGAGGGATCTTTTTCGTGTCATCACCTAATTCGACACGGGACCTCAGTTTGAATTAATGGTCTAGTCCGAAGGACAGGTCTCCTTGTCCTGCAGTGGGACTAGAAATCGCAAAGTAAGGATCCATTTTTGCTCCGCTACTCTAGAGCATACGCTCTAACGACTGCACCACACGAGCGAATAAATAAGTTGTAGCATTATAATACTCAAATTTTAAATTGTGATAAAACCTTTTATGGAAGTAATTGATGAACAAATCAAACTAAAATTTGGGTACTTAAATTATGAGGAACAAATATAATTTAGAAAGAAGCACTTAATCTTTTAAGCGGGTTAAACGACATATATTTTCGTAAATAATTAACAAGGTCAACATTTTGAAAATTTGAATGTTTAACATTGATTTTTGAAACTGTGTAGGAAACGGATGTAAATATTTTAGAGTATTATTCTGTTTTTTTTTAAAGCGAGGATACGTTCAGAGATAACAGAAGAAAAATCAAACTTTGTAGAGTAAACTAAAATATAATCATATTTCAGTTCCACATAACTGAGGAATATAGTTTATTCCTACATGGTATGTATGAAATTCACTTGAAGCGATATTTTCCATAAAACCTGTTTTCATTTCAAGTAGATTTAAAAATAATTTCTTATCACTTGCATCACTCAAATAAGGATCTCTTTATTGATCTATTACAATTGACATTTGAAATTCATATAAAAAAGACAGGTTCATATCGGAAATGATAACCGGGTATTTCGTCAAGAATATGCACATTGAAGCATTGCACATAAATTACGTTATATAACGTCACAAAACGCAAGGATGACAGTATGGTTGATTATTTGATGACTTTTATATGAAATGATAACTTCGAGATTTAGCAGGCTAAATTTCTTTAACCCTTTTTAAACTTTTGTTGTTTTATGTTTCTGATAAATTTGGTAAGTGCAGTAAACACAATATTCATTTTATCCATCAGTCATTGGTCATTTTGATAAACCCCTTGTCCTAAACCTTTCGTACAATTAACCACTTTGTTTCATACTGAAATGTAATTTTTAAAAATGATATTTTTGCATTATCAATATGAAGACTTTTTGCTTCTTTTATTTAAAATATCCAAAAAATAAGCATTTTAGAACATTTCTTAGAACTTTGTATCTTCTCATAATTAGGGATACCGAAATCATAAAACTGAAGAAAAGATTTCTCTATTTTTTTTTTTCTAGAGAACAATGGAATCCTTTATCCTCCGTATTCTGCCTATCGTTATGACTATTGTTCAGAGACAAGCAAAAGACACTTTCTGTCCTGGGACTGTATGCTTTTGTCCAGACAAAGTTACAGCAGATTGTTCCAATAGAAACCTTAAAGCAATCCCAGCTGGTTTGCCAAGGAGTATTTACATTTTAGTATTGTCAGGAAATAATTTCCCGTATCTTCAGAACGACACATTCAACTCCATCCGTGATTTAAATATTACAAATTTAATGATGGATCATTGTCAAATAAAAAATATTTCAGAACATTCTTTTGGGGATTTACAAAGCCTGGTTCACATTGACTTGGCTCATAATGATTTAAACATCACAACTATATACAATGGTATAAAACATCTTGGAAGTTCAAACGTAAAAGTGCTAAATATTTCTGGAACTGATTTACATACTGGAATTTTTCCGTTTTACCCTAATAATATATTTTCTACGGCTTGGTTAAAGGGGCTGCAAGAGATTGTAATTCGATCCTGTCGTATACGAATTTTCGCTTTTTTCTCTTTTAAAAAATTATCCAACGTTAGAAAAATTGATTTTGGGAGCAACTTCATATCTAATTATAGCATACCATTTATTCAAATGAATACTTTAGAAGAGCTGAATTTTACAGAAAATTATTTTGAAAGCATCCCCAAATTCTGCTTGAATGGCACGACACCAACATTTCCAAACCTTCAAAAACTGTATATGGCAGAGAATATTTTAATGCGTACAAAAGATTTTAATGTTCAGGGACACTGCCTCCAAAACGTAACATTTCTAAACATTTCACTAAATCTTTTCCAGGAAATCACTATGTTTTCATTTTCTTCTATGCCTCTTCTACAAACCCTAATCATAGGTAACCTACGTGGAGTTGTTTTGCAGAAAGAAGCTTTATATTCAAAATCTCTCCAAACACTTTCCATCGGACGTATTGAGGAAATAAAAGATAAGGAATTCAGAAATATTTTCTTAAATTGTCCAAATCTAAAGGTTTTAGAAATAAAGAATACAGATTTTTCTAAAACTGATGTTAGGAAAGTGCTGCTACCTCTGAAACACTTGATATCCTTAGCAATTGTTAATTGTGGAATAAACCAGATGACTCCTCTTAATGATTTTACAAACTTGACATACATAGATTACAGCTTTAATAGAATTAAAGAAATTCAAGGGAACGTCTTTCAAAATTTGTCCCGTTTCAATAAATTTGTTCTCCAAAGCAATATTTTAAATAATATCAATCAAACATTTTTGCCACATGTTCTTTGGGAAAAGAAAGAGTTCTTCCTTGATGTATCATCCAATCCCTTTGACTGTGGTTGCCAATTGGAGTGGTTCAGAGTTTGGGTAGAAAACAACAAAGATAGGGCGATTGGATACCCAAACAGCTATATCTGCAATTCTCCATCTGAGTTAAAGGAGAAAAGCCTATCCAACTTTGATCCAGCTTCGGAATGTCACAAAATAAACCCGTATATTATACTAACCTTCACTTCCCTTGGATTTCTGTCAATTCTGATTTTCACTACAGTTCTCTTACGAAAATTTCGCTGGGATATCAAATATTATATATACATTTGCAGAAATAGAAAACCAATGGGTTACAAAAGGTTTACAGATGACGAAGAATTTTTATATGATGCTTTTATTGCTTATAACACAAACGACAGAAAATGGATAATGTCTGAATTGGTTCGAATGCTAGAAAGAAACCACAAATATAAACTCTGTCTACATGAAAGAGATATCATTCCAGGTAGAGTTTATGTGGAGGAAATTCTTGAGAGTATTGACACGAGCAGGAAGTTAATTTTGGTGCTTTCCAATAATTTTATGGAAGATCAGTGGTGTAAATATGAAACAGCTCTTGCAAGTCACACTTTGGCGGACGGTGATGGTCATAAGCTTTTTCTAGTGTTGTTGGAGGACATTCGTTCCGAACACATCAACAGATCCCTGAAAGTGCTCCTAAAATCTATCTCACATGTGGAGTTGACAGAAAATAAAACTGGTCAGAGAATATTCTGGGAAACTATCAAGCAATTCATGGACAACAATTGAAATGTAAAAACTGTTTCTCAAAAATATCATTAAATCTATCTTCCTGATTTCATTTTCGAATATTTCTTACTAAAGATGAATATAATAACATGATTCACTTTACTACATGTTTAATCTAATCATAGAGATGCACAGATCAAATACTCATTGGCAAGCACACTAACCTTTATTACTAAATGTATATTAAACCGTCATTATAATAATCCCATTTATTAGCATTACCTTTGATTTTCAAGGTTAAATGAATATTCATGATTTTTAAAATGAAATGAAAATGCATAATTTTTAAAATGAAATGAATATTCATGATTTTAAAATGAACTTAATATTCAACGTGAAGGTGACATCATCATTAACAGTCAAAGCCATTAACATCTTATCTCTATGAGTTGAGATCTAAGGAGAAAAAAAATTGTATTGAGTACTCTCTGCTAGATTACAAGTTTGTTTCTTAGGAGCATATTAATATTCGTCCTTCTTAACAAGAAAGATAACAATGGGACATTCCACTCTTAGCTTTGTATAAGGATTTTGTCTTGGAACTGAACAAAATGCTATGAAACATACCCGAGTATTGTAGAGGGATGATATGGTTTTTGAACTAACGGGTGATTTTTACACAGGATTGTAGTTGACAGAAACGTTTTGCTATGTCATAAAATGTCTTAATCAAAAATTGTTCAAAAGGGACAAAAGAACCCTGTAATGAATTACCATCACTACCAATAATTAACATTTTGTTATTTGAAGAAAATATGAAACAACAAAAGGAGAGTTTTGTAAAAGAAGAGAGGAAATTTGGACTAAACTTTTATTTATATATTTTTGTGTACAAAACCTATTTTTAACATTATTGTTCCTATACATGCCTTCCAACACTATTTTGCAAAAAATTGTGATTGATGAGGCAATTTTTTCAAATATTTAATACGATGCACTAGCGAAAGTCTTCAAAATAACCAAATTTCTTTCATGCATGGCAACATACATGTATTTAAAAAAAACATATTACAGACCATATACAGAATTAATACCAGCAAAATGTAGGCATTGTACATATGAGTAAATTTAGAAACAATTCCTTCATCTTATTCATTTTTTCTTTACTTGAACAATTTACAAGTTGATTGTATATAGGATTGTTTATATGTGAATACTATCTTCAATCATTATCTCTCTCTTATTGATTCATTTATTGTTTGTCAATTTTATGCCTCATGTGAGTCCTAATAAAATGTGTCAGATGTTTTGTTCCTCGATACTTTAAAATTATCCTTATTTTCTTTAAATTTCACTATCCACAGTTATTTTTTGCTCCGAAGGAAATTCTTGGTACATGTAATACTGTGAAAATTTGAGGAATTTCTCGAGGAATACCCAGATGCCCTCGCATGAAAAGTAGGTCATTTACCTACTTATTTGAAAGTGACTATTAAAACTACAAGCATTATCTACCAGATATAATTGGTGTACATTTCTTCATTCCTATCAATGGATATGTTCTGCCATCTTAGTTAAAACGTTATATCCTTTAATGTGTCCATGCAATATACATCAACTGACACTGTTTAATGATTCTAAGCCACTTACTATCCTAATATTGAGAAATAACTGAAATTCCAAAAGTATGTCAGCGTAACCTATTGACAAACTCAAATGACCCGGGATGCATCAACTGACAAAGTTATTGGTTTTGGGCTTTTAATTATCCTTAATATTGAGATAAATTTTTTTTTAAAAATGTGAAAAAAAATATTCAGTTAACTGCTTTTACGTTGACACAATCCGTAAACCCAATTGCAAGATGGCAAAATTAAAAGATTCTAAGATTCTTATCCTAAAAATTCAGAAATTCTCAAAGTAGGTCATCGTGATCTACATTTGGTTTAAAACATTCTGAGAACCCTACATGCGTAAACTGAAAAAAAAGTTTATAATTCTTGGCCTTTAATAAATTTAAAAAATTAGGGTGTAGCCTTGACATTTTGAAAGTAGGTCATGGTGACATATTTTTTAGCTTACGCACTATTGAGACCCCAAGATGCGTTAACTGAAAAAGTTTGATGATTTCTAAATTCTTCTATAATTCAGAATGTTTAGAAATAACCAAAAATATCACAAGTAGGTCATGGTGACCTACTTTTTGTCGATATAATCCAAAGCCTTAAGGTTCCAGTAAATGTTCTACCAAGCCTCATTCTTACTTCTCAAAAAAAATATTAACAGCAATGAAGGAGGAAGTTTAGGAGTGATCAAAAAGTTCGCGAACTATCTCAATATTTACAAAACCACAATTCAGATCAGTATGAAATTTGGCACACATATAGTCATACACATGTTCTATAAATAATAGATGTTAAATAATGTTTTGCTCCGTGTTTGTGACGTCACAAAGTGAAAATGACGTCAATATGTAGGTGACTTGTGACAAAAATTGGTTGACTCAATCGTACTCGAGAAACGAGCGGCTGTAAAGTTTAACGTATATCTTGGAAATTCCTTTGCAGTAGAATATGATAATTTGTACAAGGTTTATGACAACAATAGACTTACCAGAAGTTCAATCATTAATTAGATTGGTTATTTTAGTGAAGGCAGGGAGATGGTTAAAAATAATGTTTGTTCTGTTGCCCAGCGAAAGCAAGCCGGGGAAAAGATGTGTCCGTAGTTGAGCAATTTTTTATGAAACATCGCCAAGTTACGATTAGAAAAATAGTTGAATATCTTAACAATAATATAATTATTAAATCCCTAAAATATCGTTTACTTTAGACTTTAAACATTTGAGATATGATAAAGAGAAGGCGCCCATACTTTATCCACATTGGATAAACAACGCTCCCAAAACTTCTGGGAAGGGATATCCTTATCCACCTATCCTATTGCCGAGATTTGGCAATTTCTGACAGATGGACTGTTCTTGTTATAAAAAAATAACTTGCATGGTAAGAAATATAAGACTTGGAAAAAATTTTATCTTCTGTGAACAGACCGATATGGAGCGTGTCACGTGACCGCCTTGATCCCGTGATTCGCGCATGGGCAGAATGGCAGATGCGCATTAAAATCGGAAAGGACCACTTTAAAAAATTATAAAAACTGAAACCTCATTTCATTTCTTTTAAGGAAGTAATTCAATTAGTTGGCGAATTTTGGTCACCCCTCGTATAATTTATTTGAAAGTGGCGTTAATATGACGTGGATGCTTAAAAACTATATGAAACTTTCAGAAAATTTGAAATCACAAAATTTTTACCAAACTTAAAAACATCACAATATACTTTTTGTCACTTTCTAAAAATTCAATTCAATTAATAAAATCCTTTTTCATTCCAACGTTGATTCAATATATCCCTTTGAACTCAAAATAAAAGATACCATATATCCCACCTGCTCCCACCTCTGATGTTTTACAGGTCCGAGTTTGCTCTGTTCCCGATTTGTATTGTTTTAATGGGCTTGAATGCTGTTCATTATCTCCATATGTTATTGAGTACCATAAGTGATTTTGTTTAATGTATTGACAGATTGAGCAAGATATTAATATGAATTTTATGCCCAATGAATAATTTTCGCTATGATACACATGAAGTCTCACAAGTTTATAGACCTGGTAACTTTTACTTCATGTATGTATTCATTTACATAATGAAATGCAACCATCCTCAAGTAGTGCAGATTCAAGTTTCTTCAATTCATGGCCCTTTAGGATACAATAGAGCCAGAAAATGGGTTTAGAATTTTACATTATAAAAGAATATCAATTACAGGGAAAGGCAAAAAAAAAAAACCAAACAAATCAGAACAGAATTTAATGATTATGATAATACAATTACATGATATAGTTGAACACCTAAACATATAAATAACAAAACATGACATATATAACACTGATGTTTATTTAATTAAAAACAAGAGGCCCATTGGCCACATCGCTCACCTGAGCACTGTGGCTAGGAAAAAAAGCAGAAATAAGTTCAATTTTAAAAAGTATAAATGAATGGCCCCGACCTACCCCTAAAAAAGGGGGATGGGGGGGGTATAATTTGAACAAACTTGAATTAACAATAAGGATGCTTACACATTTCTTTGCTGAACTGTGGCTTTTTTCCTATAAGTTTGAACTTTCATTGTGGTCCCTGGGGGTCATAATATGAACAAATCTGACTCTACACTTACTGAGGATGCTTCCATATAACTAATCATGGCTTTGCTGTTCTTGAGAAGAAGATTTAAGGAAAAAAAATCCTATGTATTCCTATGTATAACTATAACTTTGCTCGACAATTTTGGACCCAACCCCCGGGGTCATGATTTGAACAAACTAGAATCTACACTACCTGAGGATGCTTTCAAATAAATATGACCAATCATGGCCTTGCTGATTTTGAGAAGACTTAAAAGATTTTTCCTATATATTCCTATGTAAAAATTTGCTCGTCAGTTGTGTCCCCCACCCTACCCCTGGGGGTCATGATTTGAACAAATTGAATCTACACTACCTGAGGATGATTCCTCATGAGTTTCATCTTTCCTGGCCTAGTGGTTCTTGAGAAGGAGATTTTTAAATGATGCCATTAACTTTTCACTAATTTGTAATTATCTCCCCTTGAAAGAGGGTGTGTCCCTTCATTTGAACAAAATCTGAATTCCCTTCACCCAAGGATATTATGTGCCAAGTTTGGTTGAAATTGGCCCAGTGGTTCTGGAAAAGAAGATAAAATTGTGAAAAGTTTACATCGACGCCGACAAAAACAACAACGACAATGACAGACAATGGACAAATTTCGATTAGAAATGCTCACTTGAGCCTTCGGCTCAGGTGAGCTAAAAATCCCTGATTGCATATAAGGAATATCTTAAGAGAACTGTGTATTCCATTTTCAGTAAATGTTTATTTTACAACATGATTAACTGAACTGTTTAAATTATGGTGAAATAATGAACTGCTGCCTTAAGTGGGTAAATCATGTACAGTGTATATCAGTTAAACTGATATT